AGCAGGAAAAAAAACCCCAAAAACACAAAAACCCACAAAACCCCCCAAACACATTACTTTCCATCTTAACTCTATATAAACTGTCAAAGAAGACTGAGTTAGATAATGTTTTCAATTGGCTCCACTTCACATATAATACCTGAATAGCTTATTTTAAAACAGGTAACTGGTTGAATATAAAGGTAGAAAGAAAAGAGAAATTATTCTCATCAGTTATAAAGCTTTTCCTATTCTTTGGAAAAATTTAAGTGCTGATCCTGAGTAGCAGGTTTTGGAGTGAGATAGTTTTAATTCATATTGATGTGAATTATTTAAAAAAATTGCTTAATTAGAACATTAAGGTTCTCTTTAGAGATTCCTTAAAGTGATAAAATGGTTAAACACAAAAAAGGCAAGGGTCAAAGTACAGCAACAGTGCTCTGAGCACACACTTCTCCATCTTTACTTTGACTACAAGCATGTCAATACAAATTAAAATTTGAAAAATTCATCTCTCACTTTAGTGGCAGCTACACATTTATTTTTAAGGTAGCTCCAATCTTTTCACAGTGTTAATATTAAAATAAGTTGAAATTTAAGCTGAGATATTCAAAAGCACAATGCATTAGCCTACTCCTGGTCCTCAAAAATGTCAACAAAACTCCTAATGCTCATGCTGGCAGATTCAGATTCATAATTGCACTGCTTATGTCCTAACTTACCCGTATTTGCCATTACAGATCTGACTTAATTCACACTAAAAGCAGAAGAGTCTCTAACTTTTTGTGGATGGGAATGGTACCCTGAAGTACAGACTGGCAGAGGAAGAGAGAGAGAGCAGAGCTCTTCCAGCTGTAAATGGAGAGCATGCCCATAAGCTATGCCAGGCCCCTTCTAGTGCTGCAATGCATTTTCCCTTCCAGGGTGACTCAGCTGCTCTAGGAAGTGCAGTGGTGGAGTGAGGTCAGAGATTTTAACCTCTTCTTTTAGCCTCTCCCTCCCTCCTCATCCTCCTACTCCCACACTGAACAGGAAACAGCGGCTTACTAGCAGCTGTTTTCTTCCTTCTACAAAGAGCAGCAACATAACCAGGTCACAGCAGACGAAGGAGCTTGTTCAGTGATGGCTACTGGATCCATGTGGGAACTGGACAGAGTCCTACATTACTTACCCTTTACTCACATAGACAACCCGTTTGTAATTATTAACTTTTAGCAAGAAGCCTGAACAATCAGAACATTCCCAGTGTAACACAGAAATGCACTTTGTCTTAAAAGTCATCTTCTGTAGAAGTCCTCAAAAATGAAGATCTGTTCCAAAATGTTGTTTTTTGGTTTTCAGTAATACTGAATAACCCATAAACTTACAAACATGGGAGCTGTCTCTGGTCAAGACACTTGACTTTGCAAGAACACAGAAGCCCTGACTGAGCAGTGTCTGTTACCCAAAATATGCAAGTACATCTTTACAAAGTGACAAAGTGCTATTTAAGTCCATGGGAACATGGCACACACAAACTTACACACATTGTTAGGTAGCTGACTGAAGAGAGAAGAAAAGTGCCGGCTAATGAGACTGAATTATATGCGTAAATATTTTGCTGAAGTGGGTTTTGCAGAGGGTCATATTAAATGCAACCTGATTACATATTATTATTAAAACAGGTCAATCTTGAACAAAGTTTATGAAGCATAAAACCATAAAAGCAAACGGAAGCTTGTTTTCTTCCAAAAAGTCTACAATAAAGATGGTAATACCAATATAGTGTAGTATCAGAACAGGTCAAAATTACACGGGACTATTGTGGGACCAACATTGCCTGCTGATGCACTACCATGAACATCACTTAACTGATAACTTCCTAACAATTTACTTGATTCCTAAGTTTTTCCATCCAATAACATACATATATATGTATAAAATATATATAAATCTATATATAAATATATGCATACTCTTTTTACCACTAAAACATTCTTATTACTGTAAAAACAACAACCAAAAAGAAAACTCAAAACCTTGATGAATAGAAATCCTTAAGCACCACTCTACGCTTCGATTACATCTTGTAAAAAATTTACATTTATCTCTAGAGATTGCTTGCTCTACAGAAGCATAACATTTTGATACTAACATGAGGCTAAATTTGACACCAATGCCCAAAGGACACTTAGGCCCAGATCCTAAATAGATTTGAAAGTTCCAGTTGTGTGCCTAAATTCAAACTGAACATCTATAAAACTGTAAGATGCTGTAAGACCACTTGAACTCCTGCAAGACTCTGAATTTACCACCTTAAGTTCTTAGAATTCTGAAAATTCACCATTTGCATCCATGCAGAATTGCCGTAAGTCCTGGCATGATTGAACAGCATCATGCTCAACTAAATCAAATCTAGACAGAAAATACATATACATCTGTCAAAGCTTCCTGACAGATTCAGTGAATATTCTTGAAACATACACCTACTAAATCATACTTTTTATATAATGTAGTGTTAGATGAGAATATATTTTAATCTGGAGAAAACAGACAGTGCACCATCTCTTCCTCGCTTCTTAAAACACTACAGTGAGAGCTCCCACCTAGAAAGATGAGATGTATCCTATTATGTCTAGGAGAAACAAACCCTTACTTTCCAGGAATCTTTTAATCACAAAGACAGGATTATTCCAAATGGCAAAATTCTCTGTCTCCTCTTGAATTTGTACAGCTACATTCAAAAAAACAATTCCAGATTGAGCTAGAAAGCAGAAGCAAGCATGACTCATACCATAAGTAATTAAGGACACTGGGAAAGAGACTGTCCAGTCCTGTTCCAAGAATTGTTTCTACATTTTAAGGTTTCTGCATCTCCTCATAGGTATAAAATGCAGATTAGAAATTCTTCTGGCAGATAAAGGAACACTCTGAATTGTCCCATCTTGAGTAAGTGTGCTAGTCATTAAGCTTTTATCATCAAAGGACAGTGCTCATCCCATTAGCATTTTTTAAAAAAATTATTCTTACTCAGTGCTTGGAAAAAAGTATGGTGGAATCAATTCCCTTCAGAAGAGGCTTTAGGGTGAGTTCAGGCACTTCTCTGGACCCACCTAGAAAGCATCTGGGGACCAGAATTTCAGACATGGTTTGTCCCAGTATTTCCCTGTTTGCTTGCTCTTAACATCATACCAAGAATGCTGGCATTAAGCAGCTGCCTGACTAACATGTCCATTGCGGATTCCAGGCTGAGACAACTAGTATTTTACCTGAGCTATGAAGAACTAGCAAATGGACTTCCTTTTGAACCAGGCACCAGAAATTTGTATTAGTAGTTCTAACCAGTTTTTGGCTGAAGCACATCTCAGGGTCTCATCATTTTTCTCATGGCACACCTACGTCCACTAAGCACCATTCAGCATACCCACATGCTTCTGATGAACAAGACTTTCATTTGTACTAAAATTGCTACACCTTTGGAGAAAGTTATAAAATTAGTACACATCTCACAATTCATATACCAATACAGAATGCATGTCTGTCAGAAACTGCATTTATGTTACAGGAATAAAAATTTGCATACCCAAGTCTTTTATTAACTACAGCCCTCAAAGACCCCAAGGAGGCTTTGTTTCAGAAGCGCATCAGAAGATAACCATACTCCAAAACACAAAATTTGAATGCTTCATAAACTAGCAGACCAGACTGAGTCAGCATAAATTCAGATCAGTCTCCCATAGAAGAAACAGTCAGAAGTAGGAGTTACAGCAGATTTTCTGCTAGAGTTGTATTTACATCCATATTAAGACTTACAGACAAAAATATGCTTAAAAAAAGTAATAAAAAAATTAATAAATAAATCAAACACTGAAGAGATTTCCAGCATTGCTATCTGTACGAGTAACAGGGGCCTAGAAGACCTAGGAAAGAGGACTGCAACTCCCTGCACTAGTTTTTGCCCGATAAATGCAAGTCCACCACATCTGCAAAACTGAGACTACATTATCTTTTCTCATCTTTCGTTTAGTGATGAAAATACAATGTGACAGAGAAGTATTACTATTCCTGTGCAATAGTAATGCGATTCACCACGTTTAAGAGACTAGCTTCACCTATAATACAAATAACTTGAAATTTCTTTCTCATTATAATATAATGTCAAATCATAACAAAATTGTGCAGAAAGTCTTTGTCATTGCCTAACTGTTGAGGAAGATATCTCAAAAACAGAGCAAAAAAATGCAACAGACAATTTAGAGCCTGGAAAACTTTGGCTCCTAACTTGAAAGTTCATCTGCAGTCCCAGGAGGTCACTGCATTCTCTCCAAGCAGTAACTGGCGCCTCTATAATTTAACATTTCTGTGCAAACTTTAAAAAAATAAATCCAGCTGGAAGAGGCAGGATGATTCAATGTCATTATCCTTTCTGCACTGAGAAACCGCAACAGTGCATCACTGACTTAAACAAGAAGGAAGGGAAAAAAATCCCAATGACGTTAACTTTGCTGGCTGCACTGAATGCCTGCATATTGTAACTCTGCTGGCATGCAGGAGAATTCCAGTTTCTACAGCTTGCCCCTCATCAAACCATAGCATATTCTTTTTACTATCTGCCTTCCCCTACCCCCCCTAAAAAAAAGAAAAATAGTTCCTCACGGAACAAAAAGTCATAAACTGATCCAGAGAATAACAACAAAATAGCACTTACATGGCTTCTTAGGACATTTCTGGCACTTGTTAAAACCCCAGGAAGTACCCACGGTTCCACAGCAGTCTTCTTGCTTGGAAAGGCCAGGAAGTGCTTTGCCACACTGGAATAGTCAGGTAAAGAACATTCTGGTTAGCAATACTCTATGGTGCTCACTTCTAGTACAATATTCTTTTTCAGTCATCTTGGGTCAACCTCTTGCTGAGACACTGGAGCTCTCAGCTAAACTTAATTACAGCCCATGCATTGCAGTGGCTCTTTACACACGCATGAGTAAATTAGGTGACATTATAATCTTTCCCTGTGTCAACTTCAAAAGGAGGAAAAAGAAGAGTATGATATAGGAATGAGTGAGGGTATTTCGAATGTAATAACTTGCCTTTGGCACCTATTCCCTGCATTTTTCCTCCTAAAACCATGCTCATCCACTTTTTCAAAAGCTGTATAAATTGTCTCAAATACCTGATTACTCTCAAAGACAAAAAGACTGATTTCTATAACATCATTTCCTATTAAAAAGCCTCAACTTCCTGCCAACTTCTGCTTAATGTTTAGAAACACTTACTAAAAATTGCCAGATTATAATGACAGATTCTGATGTCCAGATACTGAAGAAGGTAACACAAATAAGATGACCAAACCCAGTTACTGATGTCTGTGTTATTCTAAACAAGTGTCTCTGTCCCCATGCAAATATTCATATTAATCTTGCAATAAATTCTGAGGTCAGTATTCCTCTGATCTCACCCCAATCAAGAATATACTTATTATGTTTTTTATTAATAAGAATGCTAATATTTGGGAACTTACACAGTACTAGTTATATTATTGACTTTTGTAATTTTCTTTCATTTTGCATGGTAAAGAAGGCTTGAACCTATTTCTGAGATGCAGACATTAAAAAAAAAGTACAGCTAAATATAAAATAGAAGTGCACAAAGTGCAAGAGAAGTAGACAACAACTGCACTTATTAATACTGTCAAAGCAAATGCTAATGCAAATTGCAGCAAACAATTCAAATGTGCCAAAGTGTGAATCCTCAATATGGAGCGAGTAGATCTTCCCTAATCTAACTTTCCTGACAGCATATAAACCTCTGACCCAAATGCTCACTGCTGCTGAGCTCTCAGCTCAAGATTGCTGGCTTATCCTATGGAACAGGCTGCGGCCTTGTGGTTGGTTTCACTTCAGCTGGTAATTCGGTCACTCTGCATTGGGTGTGAATGCACAGGCACTGATAGCTTCCTCCAACCTTCCCACAATGTTTTAATCATATTGACATCCATGAGTCAGTGATGTTTCTGAAGTACAGAGTTACTCTCTGTAGCTTCACAGTGTGACAACTAATAGGATAGCAGGCTACCCCACAACGTCAGGGCTCTGACTCATCAGAAGGTCCCCTCCTTGCACTGGGAGGGGTGGCAAGGCCTCATCCCAGCCATCTTCTCTGCCTCTTTTTCCATAGATACTTCCCAGATGCCTCCTGAAATAGCTCAGCAACAAATTAAAAGCAGTTCCACTTCACTGTTTAAACATCTAAATGTAAAGTGCAGCCTGCAGCAGCTCAGCATTTGCTGCATGTGAAGCTTAGACATCTGTCAAGGGATGTGTGAGCAGCTGGGAGCATCCTGCTCCAGTAAAAGCCAGCCTGTCTTGTGAAATGTGTTATTAGCACCAAGGCAACTTAGTGAAGTTACGGTGCACCTCTGCACATCACCCCAGTAGAAGTGGTTAGCACCACTTCTGCTTTGAGTGACACATGAACAGCGTAAAGAACACAGTGGTCAAACAGGTTAATAGAGACTGCTCAGTTATTGCGGAACTTTAGGAGTCTATTTTCACACTCTTGTCTGCAGTGGGTCTTCTGACATTTTCTCATGTTCCAAGAGGTGATAAACAGTCATCACCTGGATGGTATTTGGCTGTGTTAAATAAAGTAATCTAAGCAAGTCCCACTTTTCAGATGCAGGTCTCGGCTTACACTATGTGAATATGTGTCTTTCAGGCTGTCTTGCACTTCCCTATCTTGGGCACTGGCTGGATTAGTACAAGATTGACCATTTCTTATCAGTCAGAGCCTGTTGAGTTCTGTTTCGAAGCAGCAGTTCTTGGCCTGACACTTCCCAAAGGCCATCAAGGTGCACAAACAGGGAATTCTGCTCAATTCCCTCTGCTGCAGCAACTTGAATGTTTCCAAAACTGGAACTAGCTCTCTCAACTGCCTCTGGCTAGATGATGCACAGATTTTACTGCATTACCAGAAGCTCAAAAATCTCCCAACTAAAAAGTATTCATAATTTCTCTTCCAAGTGGCTGTTCTAAAACCATAGAGAATTCCTGTTGCATCTTTATACAGTCGTGGTTTCTCAGCTTGCATCTCCTGTGAACATGCTCTAGGAAGGACCATTTTACTTTATAATCACAACTACTCAGTTTTATAATTACAGCTGCTCAATTCCTTTTCTAACACTGGACTGCTGCTTCAAAGACAGAAAAGCCACTTACTGAAGTCATAACTGTGGCTGTTATTTGAGTCAGCTAAACCACTTTGCACTTGACTCTTCTCCCCACCGTGTGCCTCAGTTTTACAACTCTCCTCTCTCTGAAAAGAAGTAAGAGGAATCAAGGCTGGTGCTGCACCTCCCCTTATGATCTCAGAAATGGAGCATTTGGGCAGCAAGGCACATTACCTAACACCCAGTGTTTCTCTGCAAGGTCACAAGCCTCAAGGACACATCCCAGCAGCTTGTGTGTGTCAAGGCAAGACTCCACTAAGATGAGAGCCAACAAGCCATCATGAACTGGTTGTTTTCAGGTTTGTTTTTTTTTCTTTTTCCCCAGAACAGAAAAGGTATCATTTAGTAGTGGTAAATTAAAAGCATGTAAAACAATGAAGAAGAAAAGGAAAAAAAAAAAGAGGAGGAAAATGGATTACAGCCCACTTATAGTTTAGGTGTGGTGCTACAGCATTTGCACTCTACTGAAAATCATGATCTCTGTGGTCATAACTTTTTCAAATTTCCATATAAAAACCATGAGCAAAAATAAGGATGCCAAAGTCTGAGTCATCTGGCAACTGTGGTTTGTAGTCCTGTCAGTAAAAACTGGCAATGATTAAAGCTGCTGCTCCCACTGCCTCTATGGTGAATTAAAGCTTGAAGAATCAATGATAACTTGGTTAATGTGCAGATCATTGTAGAAACTGGTCAGGGAGGAAAAGCAACTGCCATATGGGACTCCTAGTGGTGTTAGATCTGTGTAATTTTGAAGCTATGCATCAGAAAAAATGACTGCTCTGCAAAGTCCTAAGCCAAGCAGAAACAGTTCGTCTATAGCTAATAAACACCGATTTCTCTAAACCTGTATTAGAAGTACCTCTGATAGTGCTTTAGATATTTCAATACTCATGGCACTGCACAAACTGTTTCCCAGCCAGCTACAGTTTCTTAAGATGCTCCTCCCTTTCACAAACCCTAAACATCAATGAACCAAAGCTATTTCTACAGATCTCAAAACCTTTAAGGTAATTCCTATCCACTTAAGAGTCTTTCACACTTCCTACTACTGAGAACAAGGCATCAGTTCTTCAGACAGTCTTTTCCAGTCTCTGAGTCACAAGTGACTGGAAAAGTCCTTGGGGGAATCCATAACTATTTTTAGTTTGTCTCACCATTCAACACAACTCCAACACATAAATATAAACCTAAAATAAGCAGGGAAGCTAAAGAAAAGCATACAGGTCATGCTATGCATGAAGATGATGACATTCCCTAAGCATACGTTTATACTTTTCTATCCATCATCCACACACATTTTAAACTAATCTAGCCTGTATTCCTGAGGGCTTCTGGAATAGAGAAGAGATTTTCATGAATGATACCTCTGTCAGAAGCTAATGATTTAGAGATAACTCTTACTAGTTCAGAAGGCAAAAAAAGTCATGAAGGATTGGTATAAAAGAGCTCAACTGTGCTGAAAGAGGCTCAGCAGTAGCAGCAGTATGAGGCACACATGGTACTGCTATAAAACAAAGTTCTTCCTGGGTAAAGCACTCACAGACACTGAAAGTATTGTTTCGAATCCACATATTTTTCCCCATGCGTGCCTGGGCTTCTATGCCAATATTTTATATAACTGAAGGAAATACTGAATATTCCCACTGATAGACTAAAGTTCTAGCTGGCCCTGTGATGGTGCACAAAGGCCACCCCAAGCCACATCATGTATTTGGTCCTCTCTCCAGACCACAGCCTCTGCAGTATCTCCATAGTCTTAGAGGGCTTAATAGTATTGGAGCTGTGCACTGCCACCAGGCTTTCATGTGTTCTTCAATGCCAGGGAAAAAGAAGAATTATATCCTCAAAATCCCTCTTCTAAAGCAGCAAAAGACATTTATTCAGCTCCCTGTAAAGTGCAGTAGAGAGCCCAGTCTGGCAATTAGTCTCAGGGCAACTGCAAAGGATTCTGGCCAAAGGACCACAACATTTCCTGGGACCCCCACTCCTGTGTGACCCGTCTACAAATCCCTGTCATGAGCTGTTAGTTAAAACCACAATACAGGCATAAATAAAGGAGTGTCACATGATTAACTATGATTGAAATTGATAGGTGCTTTGCCTGAGTTAATAGCTAATGACTCTGGGATTCAGCTCAAAAGACTGCATTTCACATACCACAACAGCAGAAGTGAATGGATACACTGTTTAACTTTCTGTAAACTATTCAACAGGCACAGACCTTGGATTGTTGCTTTTTCTTTTTTTCCTATAGGCGCGACAAACAGAGTAAGAAACCTCAAACTTAATAAATCGTATTACTGAAACAATTAACAAACATACTTAATTAGCTTATTGACCAGCTGAATTACAGGTTGTTACAAATTAAGACTATTATTCCATGAAGCACTGGTTGACTAACAGGCATTGTCTCATAAGCAGAGGAGAGAAACTTAAATACTTCCAGACTTTCTAAAAGAACTGGTAAAGAATTTGTTTTGGCTTTAGCAGAACATTCTTCGTAGGCAAGTAAAAATTATCCAGCTTTCTTCTATTTGAGTAATTAAAACAATGTTTGGTGTTTTTGGTATCTGATACATCTTTAAT